CTGGGCTTGTTCTCTTTCATATCTCTTCAGTTTTGAACGATTTTTAAGAAGCCAATTCCACCCACTCCATCACCAAGAAGGTACTGGGTATGCCAAAGATCTGCAGTCTGCGTTCTCGCTTCTCATCCTTGACGCCAAACTTCACGCTGGCCCCGAGGGTTCCTGTGACCTGTAGGTGTTCCACGGTCACTCCAACACCTGGACAAGTAAGACAACACGATGACCTGTGCTGGCCTTTGTTCACACGGCGGAGACCTGGCCGGTGCCCAGGTCCTTCAGCAGGTTCTGCAATCTGATGATCTCTTTGCTGGCGTTGCTGAGTTCTCCGCCCAGCTTCAGTTCCTTCTCCTTTAACTTCTTGATTTCTCTCTGGCATGTCTGCGGAAGGAAGCAAATGCTGTCGGTTATCTAGCTCTCCTTTGGAGTTACATATAACGAAAAAGAAATGGCTAATAAAACGAAACTTGCAAATATGTATCAGCTATTTGAACTTTGAAGATGAAAGTTTAAACTCACCACATTTTGACGCAGGAGATCCAGCTTGTCACACTTGAGCTTGTTGATCTCATGCTTGAGGGTGTCCACCTGCCGAAGGATCGTCTCCGGGTCGGCGTGGAGGGCGCACACGCCGTCCTCGTTGCCGCCGCAGAGAGGACAGTGCAGGGACAGCTTGTGGGGCGTCTCGGCGGAGGACATGGACTCTAGCCCCGTGTCCGAATCCTCGTTGAGAGGATGGGAATGGCCGTCAATGTCGATCGAGTTGATGGAGGAATCATCACTCTCCGACAACGCCATCTGCGTGTTGGGCGTTGTGTCTGGGCTGGAGGTGGGCGTCCGGGCGCCGCTGCTGCCTCCGCTGCCTTTGCTTCCTTTGCTGCGGGAACTCTGCAATTGCAGACACCAAGTATTAGAGCATGAAAGCAATCACGAAGAAATAAATATATCAATATAAAATCGCGAAGAAAGAAATATATCAATATAAAATCAGAAAGAAAACAAAACGTTCATTATAATAATAACAAAAATCAAAACATCTCACCGAAGGCGTTCCACCCGCCAGGTTGTTGGAGTTGTTGGTAGCCGTCGTCTTCTTGACCAAGCCAGCAGGGTCCTGGTTTGGCGGGCGGCCCCGGAGGACCTTCCTGACGATCTCGGTAAACCTCGTGCCGGGAGTCTCGAGCTTCGGGGGCTCCTGGACTTCAGCGATTCCCAGGAACTCGTTACTCTTCCGACGTAGGTCGTCAACGAGGGAACTCAGTAGCGAGGACCGTGTGCGCAGCTGGAGGAAAAAAAATGTTAAGAATTATTCATATATTTTTTTTTGACATATCTCATCATATCTGCAACTGCCATAAACAGCTCCATCCTTATTTTTTCATCGATCAATTTGATTAGAATTAACTAAACTTAACGCAAAAATAGAAGCCCAACGAAGTTTACACTTAACCGGACGTGTTTCGCAGCCAGTTTAACATGCACGAGGCAACAGCAGAAGCCCTTCGTGACTTACCTCCAATTTAGCAAATCTCTCGGCCTTGTAGCATGCCAACTCGGCGTTGATGAGCTTGGTGAGGATGAACTCTTTGAACTGGGGTCCCTTCTCGAACACTCCCGACGAAGGCAATGTGGGGCCGAAGAAAGGTACGTCCGACCTTGCTGTCACACTCACGCGATAACTGACGAGGGGGAGAACGAGAATCTCAGTTAGTACAATGTATTTCGATTCTTTTAAAATGGATATGGACTGAAATATATCACCAAATTCAAGATGAGAGACAGACCAACGAAGCGCTCAACCCACCTGGTATTAGGCGTGCAGGGATCGATCGGCTGAACCACAATGTACGCGTGAAGGAAGTGCGAAGCGATCATGTCGGGGGCGAAGGGGGTGTTGCCCTCCTGGAAGACGATGGCCACGATGTCGTTGCCAATGTGCCTCTTGCGCTGCAGCTGCTGAGGGTCGTTCTCCGTGTATGGCAAGAGCGTGGACACGTGGAACATGATCTCCTTCTCGCGGAACACTTCGTAGACGCTTTCTTCGCCCGTCTGCCCGTAGAGGGTATCCAGGCCGCCCTTGAATCTGCGAGAGAATTGGTTCTTTAGCGAGGGCTTCGTCAACACGCAAACAATGCTACGTTAAGTCTTGGACAATATATTAGAAGGAAATGCAAAAACAAAACACAGGATATATACCACAGCCCTAAGTAACCTCCCGCTCGAAATATCACCCAAAGACATAGCAATTTCTCTTCTGAACTCACCCTTCGTGATCTCTCAGCTTGACCCGCTGTCCCATGAGGCTGAGGAACTCCTCGAAGGCGGCTGAGTGCGTCTTGTTGCCGAACAGCTGCTCCTCAGTGGTCTGGCCGGCGCGCTGGTAGATGAGGCCGAACTTGAAGTGGTTGACGAGTACGTGTTCGTCGTAGGACACGATCATCTCGGGTCCGCGCGGCGTTACCACCGGCTGGAACCGCTCCACCGTCAGCTCCTCCTTCAGGCGCTGTGGGGGAAGAAAACAGGAGGGTTATAAGGGGTCGTATAAGGAGAACTGGTACATAAAAAGACATACATACAAACACATACACACGTATATACACACAACCATATTTCCCCTCAATCATGTAATTACAGACGAACGAGGGCGGCGAATACACTCACAAAAAAAAGAAAACAGAACAAGAATGAAGTACAAACAAAACAAAGCAAAAAACGAACACAGTGAAAAAATCTAAATCGTTAATTATAAGGTACAAATTGCTCCACGGTGTTTCTTTGTTGTACCATCGCTGGGATTATGGAAGTGTCCATTACATATTCATTGAAAAGTACCGGTCAAATGTTCAGTCTTCTCTCGCGCGCGTAATATTCATCGACTAATGAACACCGAGGTTTTCAGATCTCTTAAATGTGAAAGCTGGAATATACTCAAAGCCATAAATACAGCAGGCTTTTCCACTGCTATGAGGGAGGCCTATGCGATATCTGCCCGTGATGTGTGGATTTGAGAACTAGTTACATTATGAGTGATTATAATAAAATAAAACATGATTTTTTTGTTTCTTAAAAGAAAAAAAAATCCTTTGCCATCGTCATTCCATTTTAACTGCGTAGGTACGTATGCATTTCGCCCCCTCCTAAAAGCATATATACGTACATATGTGGTAAATTACTGCTTCTTAGCACGCACAGATGGGGAGGTGGTAGGTAGAGAGAGGGGGGGAGGGGGGCAGGATAGGGAGAGAGAACGAGATTGAAATTATCAGGCGGAGCAGATTCAAAATCAATTACGCTATCGATCACTCCAGAGCCGGCCATGCAACTGGGATGGGATTAAAATCTGAAAATCTGCCTCGCGTCCATAATGATGTGTTTCAATGGGGTCCTACTTCACCTCGCCCGGCCCTCCCTCCCCTCCTCCCTCCCTTCCCCCACCCCCTCCTCTCTCCCTCCCCTCCTATCACCGTGCGGAGGCTGACACCGACGCACAAACAATAACACTGCTATTAACAGCATAATAGGGGTTTCTCCTCTTAAAATGTAGGCCTCATCAGTATGCCCGGGAGATGTGCGTGTGATAATGAGGCTAGAACACGTGTGTGTCTGTGCGGGCGTGTGGGCGCGGTGTACAGGCGGCTGAATTTACCTGTGTTTATATGTTCGGTATATGTGTACATGTATGTATGTAAAATAACTCAGTCGATCTATAATTGAATACAAGCATCTATGCATGTATTCATGTAGTGTGTGTGTGTGTGTGTGTGTGTGTGTGTGTGTGTGTGTGTGTGTGTGTGTGTGTGTGTGCGCGTGCACCCGCGTATGTACGTCCGTCCGACGGCAGCCCGCGGCCACCAGCAGCCAGATCGGGTTTCCATCCAGACTCGCAGCTATTTTGGTCAATTCTCTCATCACTGCTTGCACGCCTTTTGTTTATTGGCTTGTGGATGCCTTCCTCCCTCTGTGTATACTCTCGCCTCTCTTAAAGAGTCGGCCATTTCCTTTCAGCAGCGGTCAAGAGGCTCCTCACTCCACAAGGCAGTCGAACAAGAGCCTATTATTATTGGGTATTATTAGCCTTTGCCCCGAACAGCGCCTACTCCGCCTTATTCTGTATGGTAATTCACGCCCAGAGATGGCGCTGCCATAAGGGAAGGGGGGACCCAAAAACGAGGCAAGGGGGGAGGCTTCAATGAAGTCAAATAGGGTCAAGACTCACTCCCTATTTGTCTGTTTTTTTGCTTGTCTGTTTCTTTCTTTTTACTTTCCTCTTACATTCTCCCTCTCCCTCCCCTCCCTCCCTCCCTCTTCCTCTCTCCAAGGAAAATTCTTCACAGTCCTTGAAACTTTCCCTCGCACTGAAACGCCAACACGACCCGACCATTAGGGCACAGGACCGCGTCAGTGGAGAGAGAAATTCAAAAGAAAAAAAAACAAGAAATTAAAAGAAAGGAGAGAAAATAAATAATACGAAGCAGTGATAGGCCTAGAGTCACAAAGTAGGGCAAAGTCACTAAGAAGCGGAAGAGGCCTAGGTGGGGACGGCAAAAACGGCCTCCCCCGCGTCAGGTTCTCGGCGGGGAGAGCGTGCCAAGGGAGAGGGGGAGGGGGGCGAAGGGGGGGAGGGAGGGAGAGGGCTTTCTACGGAGGAACACGAAAATGGCGTCTGTTATGGGGGAGAAGGTGACCGGATTTTTACGTCACGCGGGAAGATCGACACGGAGATTGGGGGAAAAGGGAAGATAGGGATGGGGAGGGGGTAAGGGAGGGGGAGGGGGCTGGGCAGGTAAGAAAAGTGGGGGGTCTAGGTGCAGGTAAGTAGGCTCAGCTGGGGGGAGGTGGACAAGGTAAGTTTGGGGAAAGAGAGAAGGGGAGGAAGGGGGGGTGGGACAGAGGGAAGGGGGGGAAGGGGGAGGGGGCAAGCGGTCACCCAATGTCCCCCGAGTGTATCAGCCTCATGCCAGGTACGAAGCAGGGGGTAGAAAGGCCAGGGAGAAAATTGAAAAAAATGTAAAGAAAATACAAAAGAAACAAGAACAGTAATAACATCAAATATTAAAAATAAGAGGCACAGGCGAAGAAAATGGGAGAAGGGGACAAGAGAAAACAGCTCCATAGGCCTGGGTAGAATCACTCAACGTGTCACGAGGGCCAGGAGTATGAGGGAGTGAGATGAGGGAGTGATGAGGGTACGAAAGGAGGGAGAGGCGAAGGAAGAGAGGGGGGAAGGAGGGCTGGCCGAGAAGGGTCTGGCGAGGGAGTGAGGGTTTTCTTGAGGGAGTAAGGGCCAGGTGGGTCGTGGAGTGAGGAGTGAGAGTCTCCATAGTCTTAATTTGGGTTTCCTCATTACTCGCTCCTCGCCTTCCTCCCCCAACACCTATACAAACAAACAATTCAAACCGCTATTTTTTCCCTAAAAATCAAATAAGCCAAATTAACCGTGAAGGCAAGCTGATCATATAAAAAATAAAAATTAAAATCATATTAGCATTTAATACCGATTCTATAATGAAAACAGTGACAATGATTACATCAATAATAATAATAATAATAATAATAATAATAATAATAATAATAATAATAACACATGCAAGTAAAGGGTCGCATAATCTTTACAAATAAGTAAGAAATGGTTAGTCAGCCTTGTCGAACCAAACTAACAAAAACAACAAAAAAGTCGCAATCCCTCCCCACCCCCCTAAAAAAATTAAAAGATAAAGACAGCAGCCAAATGATCTCTGTCCAAAGAGGAAGAGGAAATGGATCAGGGGAGCGAGCGAGCGAGTGACCCTCCGCCCGCCATCAGCACGCAAGGTTAACTGGACGAACCGACAAGGAGAGGAGAAGCGAGAGGAATGAGAGAGAGAGAGAGAGAGAGAGAGAGAGAGAGAGAGAGAGAGAGAGAGAGAGAGAGAGAGAGAGAGAGAGAGAGAGAGAGAGAGAGAGAGAGAGAGAGAGCCCGACCGATCGACAATGCAACCGCTTTGCAATATCTCTCCGAACACGCGAATGAGAGACGGCTTTGCAATACGTTATTATTTTTTAAATTAATGGCTTCTTCTTTGTAAGAGGGGAAAGGAGGGGGGATGTAAATAAGGATGGGGATGTTTGGGAGAGAAAATGAATGAGCTTGTAGGGAAGTAAGTGGCAGAAAAATGTACGATAAATAAAACAGAGACGGAAGGATAAAACGATGATGATGATGATGATGATGATGACAACAATAACATCAAAAACAGGAGCAGCGTCTGAGCAGACTGTCTAGCAAAAGCGGCAGTGCAAGTGGGTATCAGCAAGTTTGGTGAGAGGTAAGTGCAAGGCCGTCAGCAAGGGGGGGGGGGTTAGAGGCTGACGTCCGAGGCAGGGAGTGGGGAGTGTGAGGCAGATGAGGCAGAGAGATAGACACTTATAGATAGATCAAAAGATAGATAGAGACATAGATAGATAGATATACAGACAGGTATAGACAGACAGATAGAAAAGACAGACAGAGAAACGGATACAGAGACAAATAAAAGGAGAAGCGGTGCGAGGGCGGATGGAAAGAAGAAAAAAAGGTTACAAAATCTCTTCGCACGAGCGCCCTGCCCACCGCCCTTCTGTGCGGTGATGTCACCCGCACTCTCACCCTCACCCTCGAGGTCTAAACGGCCCAGCAGGCGGATCTATTTTATCTTGTACTCATGAGGCGCCTCCCACACCTCGCCCTCGATGGGATAAGGAAACTGCGACACTTTCCAGGAGGGAGAGAGAGGTGGAGGGAGGGAGATGGGGCAGGGGGGGAGAGGGTACGTGGGAGGAGGAGGAGAGAGAGGAGGAGGAGAAAGGCGAACGGGAGAGAGAAGAGAAGAGAAAGAGAAGGAGAGAGAAAAAGGGAAGAAAGAAAGAAAGAAAGAAAGACAGACAGTTCGTCAACAAGGCGGCGAGTGAACCCTATATTTACCCCGCCAAGATCCAACGGACGTGACCCGCGGCCTTCCAGGGCGCCTTGACTCCAAATCGCCCGCGAGGAGAATGAGGCAACGGGTTACTCAATATAACCGTTTTTTTCTTTCTTTCCTCCCCTCTCCCTTTTCTTTTATCTGTCGCGATCCAAAAACATCTTGACTCAGTGTACTGGTCACTGCCCTCCTCCTCCTCCTCCTTCTCCTCCTTTTATTTCTCCTCTTCCTCTTCCTTCTCCTTCTCCTTCTCCTCCTCTCCCTTCCTCTGACACTCCCTACGAGGGGTATGAGGGAGGGGAGAAGGAGGAGGTTGGTGTACCCCGCCGGTCGTGCTTGAGCGGTGAGTCATTTCGTGCACACGGAAAAAGGGGAGAGAGATGACTGAGGAAGAGGGGAGAGGGACAGGCTGAGGAAGAGGGGAGAGGGACAGACTGTGGAAGAGTGACAGACAGGGAAGGAAGGGGTGAGGCAGAGAGAGAGAGAAGGGGGAGAGGGTGGATAAGCAGTGGGAGAAGGAAGGAGCAGAGGATGGAAAAGGAGAAGAAAGGGAGAAAGAGAAAGA